GGACATCTCTGGTTTCGCCCCTGACTAATTCTAGGTCTACTATATAGTGAATAGTGCTAAATCTACCTACGGACATTTGATGGGAAGAGGTAACGACGAGAAAGTTATTGGCCTTTAAGGCGCAGCCACCAACGGAATTAACACACACTTTGTTGGGACGCAGCATGACTCAGTAAATGGAGGCCTGAAGTCTTGATATTCTCGATGAATTACTCTAAAGATTTATTAATTAATAGTTTAAAACCATAATCCCGGGTTATTTGTGACTTTTCTATTATGAATAGTAAAGTATAGGAGGAGCACTTTTGGTGTTAAACTCACCAATGACAAACCAACGAAGTCCAAAATGTTTCCAGTGGGTCTTCCGGTGGTGAATTGGCAATACAACGGGAGACAATTTCTTACCGTACTCTTCTTGTCCGAACTTGTATTTCGTTTACATGTGCATGGATCATATTGCAGTTAGCGTATTTTTTTATATTTTATATGATCACTGGAAACGTTGAGGAGAGAGTTTGGTTCTGTGCTTTTGAGCGTGAAGTGCTAGGAAAATGCAAAAGTGTGGATAGATAGAGCTGAATGTGGAATGGTTCCATGGAAGTGCAAGACAGAATGCCAGAAGACGTCAATGGCTCTATTAAGGGCTATGTCTTTAATCATCATCATCATCATCATCATCATCATCATCATCATCATCATCATCATCATCACCATGATCACCATCACCATTATTTTACACTGTGTTTGCGAGGACCACACGCCCGGGGTAATCGGTTCTATTCTCCGGTAGTTAGGGGAAGGAAGGATGTGCTACATAATCATTCGAAATCATTTCAGTGTCCTTTTTGATACAAATGGAAAGAAGAATGTCTTTTGTATGACGGTCTTTGTGACAAAAACATTCGCTGTGTAGTAATAGAATTCGAGTTTTACTGGCGAATCCCTTGGATATCTTACAATAGAATATTAATATATAAAAGCCATTCTTAATAAAAACTCATAAAACTGATTATATTAATCTCCTGGTAGACTTGTTAATTCGCATTCTCGTAATAAATAATATTTCTATTCAAACATTTGTCACAGTTATCTGC